TTATATAAATATACAATAAATATTTATGTTACACAAGATGAATAGTAGAGAACAAGGCCACAGACATTAACTTACAGTTGCAAGAGTCTTTAACACAGCACTAGGCCTGCTGACATGCATGATAATACCTTTGTCACAAACAGACCACAGCAAGAGCTTAATTAAGCGACGTGAAGGAAAACCAACCCTCTCCTCTCCTCCTCTGCTCTACCTAGGACTGCCCAGCCTGAGATCATGGTGTGCCAGCTCGAGAGCCATGGGACTGCAGCTCATTGCCAGCTCCACCCTACACCAGTAAGTAGAGAATTGGTGTGTTATGGGGCTTATCGCTCTGGATGTAGCTACAAGACACAGTTCTCTTGGTTCCCACTCCGGATGGAGTTACAAGACACAGTTCTCCAGGTTCTCAGCTCCATCCCTTAATCCCTCCCAGCCACATGGGCTGTCCTTGACCACTCTGAACCTGCCACCTCACTGTTCTAGCTCTGCCACACAGGCACTACCCTTACCGTGCCTGGTGAGGATTTTGGAGCTAAGGATACAGTTGTGATTAGAATCCTAGAATTTAGGGGCTGGAATGGACTTTACAGATCATCCAGCCCCAACCCCTGCCCTGGGCAGACACTTCCCACCAGATCAGGTTGCTCAAGGCTCATCCAGCCTGGATTGAACACCACCAGGGTTGGGGCAGCCACAGCCTCCCTGGGCAACCTGGGACAGTGTCTCACCACCCTTAGAATAAAAAACTTTTTTTCTCACATCTAACTGGAAGTTTATTTCTAGCCTGATTTATGCATTAACACTTCTCTTTTGGAAATTCAATTTATTTAAACTGGGAATTATTTTGCTATTATTTTTATAGCTGAAATAAGATTACTGTCATGACTTGGCTTTCCTTTTTTTTTTTTTTTTTTTTCCAAATCTGGATGAGTGATCTGTTTGTTATTCATACATCAACATAGAATTTAAGGGTTGGAATGGACCTGACAGATCATCTAGTCCCAACCCTCCCTGCCCTGGGCAGGGACACCTCCTCACTAGGTCATCCTTTCCCTCTTATGAGCCACTGTTACACCACTTCTCTGCTGCAGCCTGGGAGTATTGCTGAGAACAGCTCCTGAACCATGTTGGGTTTACTAAAGCAGCTTATAACACACACAGGAGAATGAAATGGTCTAGTGGAAGGTGTACCTGCCCATGATCTAGATGATCTTTAAGGTCCTTTCCAACCCAAACCATTCGTTGATTCTATAATTTCATTTGCACCAAGAACACCTTAGTTGAAGTTTTAAGACATTTCACTAAGTTGTTTGGGTTTTTTTTCACTTCTGATTTCTGTGTGGGAGCCTGATATCAGCAATGGATGGGGAAGGCTGAAGTTTGAAGTTCAGGTGGGTCATACAACCCTTTGTTCTCACTCCCAGTGCACTGTGCATGTGGCCAAAGCAAAAGGTACAGCCAGTTATCCTTGGGAAGGGGAAGCCCTTCTACCCCAGTCAGCAGCAATCACTGATCTGGAGGTGTCTGTTAGCTTCTAGCATGGGTTTCTATAAGTAATGCCACAAACTCAGTGCTAAATATGCTCTTCAAAGAGGGGGGAATCATATTTCAATAAGCTTTATCCAGTCCAAGTTTTAATTAGCACAGATTCTGCAGCATCCAGAAGCAGATATATCTTGCAGTATTTTCCTACTTATTCAGCTATCTTTCTTCATCACCAGGAATTACAAATATAGCCTCAGCCTTCAGTGAGCTCACTAATGAGCTATTTCTGCTCTCTGCCCACTGCAGTCAGTGCAAGTGCCATGCAGAGCTCTCAGCCTCACAGCCCACCCTTTGAGCAGCACTTCTGTCAGAGTGAGAGGGGGAGCAGCACAGAGCTAAAAACACCTCTCAGAACATAAGCAAGTTAAGCCAACTTGTCCAGCACTTACTCTTGACTTAGTTCAAGATTGTTTTTTTGTTAATGCCAATGTTTGTTTCACAAAATAAGGCTGACAGCAGAGGTAGAGCCACACAAACATGCTAACTGCTTTCTCCTAGAGGCAGGGCCTTCTCTCTGCCTCGTTCCCAAGCTATTTCCCAGAGCTCTTTCAGGCTGGGATTCCACCAGAGCCTGCAGATCAGCTTTGCAGGCCTGAGGCTGCTGCAATGCTCAGGAGAGTAAGGACCAGGCCCACACTCAGTCAGGACTGCAGCTGGGATAGCCTCAGTCAAGCCAAATCACTGTGGTCTGTCCCCAAACTGGCTGAGCTGTTCAGTCCCACGACAACTTGATTTCAGATCCACCATCATCTACCTAGACCCTTTTCCTAGCAACATTCTCCTCGTGCTTCACCAAGACATTTGACCCACACATGGTCTTTTGTTACATGAAAATCATTGCTCTCAGCTCTTCGTGGAATATTCTCTATATAAGCTCCAGTTCTATGGTAAGTGAAATACTTTAAAGATCACAACCAATGTCCCTCCAGAGAGAAGAAAGGGGGGGAAAAAAATCCCAAACACAAACAAACATGGTATAAGCAAATGCAGGTCTCAAGAGACAGCAACTTAAAAAAAAATTGAAAAAGAAACTAACCCAAAAAAGCATGTTGCCATACAGTTAAAGAAGTGCTGTCTTTAAGCCTGAAGTTCAACAATGTGAAGTGGAACATCACCATTCTTTTTCAGTTGCCTCTTTTTATTATTTTTTCTGTCAGTAGTCGGACTGCTATTGCAAACACCTTCACAACATACAAAAAAACAAATTGGTTTTTAATCCAGAATAAGGTAATCATTTTTTTTTCCTTTTTCAATCTGATGGGAGTTCAAAAGTAAAAGAGAAACAGTAAAACTATGACAACAGCACCTTGACATTGTTTTAATTCCAACGCTATCAGAAGTTAGAAGCAGTAAACATATATACTAACAGGAATAAAGATACTTACTGTCTAAAATGTAAACGGAATGTTTTGGTTCAATTTATTTGTCTGAAAGAGGACAGTTTATCATTAATTCACAATTGAAGCAGCATGCAATTTTATTCTTTTTTTTTTTTTCAAACTTTTTCTATTTTCAATTCTTGGCAACGGCGACAAACCACAATGTTATCGAGGAATGTAATGCAGACTTTTTGTTTGCTTGGTTTGCTTTTTTTTTTTTTTTAAATGTTTTCTGTATGTTTGTTTAAACTTGTGCGCAAATGACTTTTGTTCCCCTTCAGGTCATGGATATGTTCAATAAATAGATCGTGTAACCACTGTACTGTATAAACTTCAGTCATACATGCAGTCCATAAAATTATTTTTTTTTTTTACCGAATAATTTACCCTGTTATGTATATATACAAATAGATAATTTTGTCTCAATATAATCTATACAACACAAATCCACTATCTTCCCCTTTTAATGGTCAATGTACATACACAAGAAGTGTCTATCCTTATAAAGCGCCAGCCAACTCTCTTTTTGTTATCCATGGTGAGAGCTCTCACGTAGGACTGCGTAGTTCGGCACTGGGAGTTCCAGTGCCTCTTGTCTATGCCCCTGCAGCCCTCCTTTGTGTACCCCTTGGGGTTGCATTTGGTCTCGTAGAAGTATTGCTTCAGTTGGCCTTTGGGCACTGGGACTTTCTCCAGGACTGTGACGGTTGCTCCAGACATGTCCACCGCGGTTTTTTTCTCGGCCGCCGTCACCCACTCGCTGGTGCTGTCGCAGACGCTCAGCTCCCCGCGGCGCGCGGGGTCGGAGTGGCGCCGCACCCTCATGGACATGTTCGCGGCGTCCAAGTAGTTTTTGTACTCCTCCAGCAGAAAGAGCAGTGGGGGTTCCAAAGGCACTTGACTGCTTAGCATGACCCGGGATGTGTACAAGTCTGCATCCTTGTTTTCCTCGCTGGGCTGGATGTCCTGGTCCTCATCTAGGAGCTCCTCTATGACATGTTCAAAAGTATCTGCCAGTGATGTCAGTCCTCTTGAACCAGCACTGGGCCCATTTAGGCTCTCAAGAGTCCCGTGGGTCCGAAGACCTGGGTAAGCCAAGCTGCCTTGTCCTCTTAGACTAGCTTCTTTCATTGGGGCAGCTTTCATGCAACTGAAGTATGAGATAACCATAGTAAGGAAAAGGATGGTCATCACTCTTCTCACTTGGTGGAACTGCGAAAAACAAGAAAAAAAATTAACTTACAAGGTCTGAACTAACAAAAACTCAACTGAGCTGTCACAAGACTCTATGCATTGTCTGCTCATGCAGCTGTAACTCATTACCAGTGATAAAACACACTCTGGTCTAAGACTCTCCTTCCATTCAGAGTTTCAGACAAAGCATATGCTGCAGTTTAGGCAATATTGATACCAGCAAGTCAGAATTCTTACAGGCCAAAGTCTCTCTGTAGTAAGTATTAGATACTACACGGATTCCTCATTTATTGACTGAGCACACCTATTCTGAGCAACAGGAAAAGCAGAACTGCTGTTCAGCAATGCAACACTTCAGCAATAAAAGAGAGCTTCATAGCCATGAAAGGCAAGACTTCCATTCCAAGTGCAAATGTAAATATTTTATTTTTGAGACCTCTCTGTGGCAAAAATAGTTCATCATTCTATCCGCACAAAAAATGAACAGCACCAGGAGAAACTGCACTTGTATTTTGCAAGCAACCTTCAAAACATAGGAAGAGGCCATGTAGTTCTGAGGTCTCAGGAGGTCAGTTCCTCATCTAAAAAGTAGAAGGTGTATATACAAACATAGAACAAGAAAATGGCCTGGAACACATGAGCAGGACAGATAGCTTGCATCATGGGAATGGCATGGAAGGGACCTGCTGGACTACAGAGCAGAAGTGGCAGCAGCAGAACTATTGTTCCAGACTTTCCCAGAGCCCCCATCACCTGTTCTTGAGTGAGCAAGAGCCCAGTTAGAGCCCAGAACCCACCATGAAAACCAGCACACACAGCCCTACTGCCATACTGAAACACAGCAGTTTGGCCATTTCTCTCACATTCTGCCCCAAATTCTGGCACCTGAAGAGTGCTGGTAGGACACCTCCTCACCAGGTCTGGAAAGCAGCACAACTCACTTCTACCAGCACACCCAACAGCTTGGTGCTTGCATGCCTGCTCCTTCCCAAGTGCTTTGTTAGGTCTCCATACATTGCACGTTCCTCAGGGTAGAAGCTGTTTCCTCCTCAAGTGCAGAGTAGACACTTTAAGTACTGTTACAAGAGCCCCCCAAATCCTGCAGTGACAGAGAGCTATACTTTCTGTCTGATCCCAAGTGCTACTACAACATCCATCACTTCCAGCTGTTATTTTTCTGCCTTCCAATCCCTGCTCTCACCACTTCTGCTTGCTAGAAAGCAATGGCATTGTTCACATTTTTGAGGCAGCAGCTAATGCTTGTTTCAGAGCTTTTGAAGTTCATTCGGAAGTACCTCATACTTGGCAGAGCTCATTGGAGTAAATGCTATTTCTGTTTGCCAACAGGGTGCTATGTAAAATGACTTACTTCATCTCCTGCAAATATGCTGTGGGAAACTAGTACTCTTAAGACTTGAACATGGAAAGACAATTTATCATGAAACACACAAATAAAACGAAATGTGTACTAGAAAGGCAATGCCCAAACTGTAGGTCTCCAAGTTTATTTGGTGAAGGCAGGGTGGGAAGTGTTTGGGTTTGTGTCCGTGCCTCCCTCACCCCCAGCCCCACACCAAACAAGATTTTTGGCCAAGAATCCCCTGTACCCCAGCACAACTCCTTCTCCATCCCTCCATCTCTCTTCCTGTTTAAAAGTGGTGCTGTGGCACAGATTCATTAAGATTAAACAAACCTGACATCTGTGACTCACGGGAACATAGTGTTTGCTCTAGCCATGCAGAACATTAATATTTTGCAGGTTTTTTTTCATCCTCTGGTTTTTAAAACAGTCTACAGGGAGCGTCAGATTTCCTCCTCCAAGGGGAGGAAGAAAAGCACTACAGAGATGATTTACACAAGGAAAAAGGTTCTCAGTCTTCCTTTATCAAAAAGGCAGAAACAATTCTTGTTGCCTTGCAAAGTGGTGGCTCAGCTAGCACACAAATACAGAGCCAGTGGAACAAAATAATATTCATTCACTCCCTCTTTGGAAAATTGTTTTATGCAAAACCTAAAGGGAGGAGAACCCCAAACACTTTGTGACCACCAGAGCAGCAAACAGAACACAGATCTTCTGGCTCCTGATCAAATTCCTGTTATTTTTACTAGAGTAGTGCCCAGAGGTTCCAGCCAGTTCTTGACTCTGAGGGACAGAGTCTGTCTGAGCACGTAGTATCCCACGGGACCTTCCAGGGCAAAAGAGAGAAGGCACAAGACCAGAGGCACCAGGACCAGCACGGAACAAGAAGCATCAGGTATATCAGCTGGGGGTCGATCAGTTGCTTTTCAAGTCAGGCAGTTGAACAGAGGAGAGAAGGATCCCTGGACCAGCCACATTCTTCACTACTGCCACTGGGCTGTTTACCTCCCGTGGATGTGAAGGGAACAGAACACTGGCTGTGCCACTTCGTTCACGTGGACACTTCTCTAACATGGAAGACAACTGAGGACAGAGGTGCAGATTGACTCCAATGAGCTCTGCCAATGGCTGGTTAGTCATCAGACCTAACAGTACTTCATATAGCACATTAAATTAATTCTTCCTTAATCAATTTTGCCTTCCATTTAGCAAGGAAACTGCTGTCAAGTCTGATCAATTTACTCCCCGTCTGATGACATACAACCGCCACTATTATCTAGCGCGGCGAGAAACTGTGTACAACTAGACTCCGAAAACCAACAGCTTTAAACAGCCACTACCCACATACCACACTGATAAAACACAGGAAAACATGTCTGAGTAAAGGCCACCCCTTTTCCTCCCCTTTCTAACAGCAGAAGAGCATGTCAAAGTAAGCTTTAGCAGCACAGACACGTGGAATATTGCCAGCAAGCAATCGCAGATCAAACATCTTCTTTGTAAATGAGTCCCAGACTAAGCTGAACTCTAAGCAGGATGTGAAAAGATTCTTCTCTAGCTTGACAGTGACTTGAGCAATATACATAGTCCTCGTCTTTGGCAGCAAAATCTTATCAAGTGATTTAATACAAGGAAGTAATATTTTATCACCTGGGAAATATCTTCATTTTCGAGGCCGTAACAATTTCTATTAGCAGTTGCACAGAATCTACTAGTGTAACGTGCAGAACAAGGTATAAATCTCACTCCGTGGGTAGAGTCACACAACCTTTTAGCTACTGTTGAGCTGACACACGAATGCACAGTTCATCTCTTTCCTAGTGAGGCAGGAGCAATATCCCAGTGTAGCACCAATAACGTCACCCTTTTGCACTCCTCCTGTTCAGCCACATCTCTGGACATAAAAGACTTTCCTAGGAGAGGAAAACTTGGTCCAATTGCCAACCACAGACAGTTGTACACACCCACTAACTCGTGTGAGATAAACGTATGCTGGCTCCTTCAGAGACAGCCTTAAACTACTCCCTCAGGACACAGGAGCCATCTGTGAGGAATCCCATTGGAGACAGCCTCCTCGAATGCCATCGTCCTCGGGGCTGCAAGAACACCCTTCCTTCTTTCACACAGCACAGCAAAGCCAGAGCAATGAAAGGAGGTCACCCACCACGGACAGGATCTCAGAAAGACATGACCTAGTTTGTACTTCAATAAAGTCCACACAATTACAGCCAGAATAAGGGCACATAATTGTGGCAGTCAGCCCCACTAATGGGAAGGAGGCTCATTAAATGAAGGTCGTGTCAATTACCTACAGCTAGTTTACATATGCAGTCAATTACCCTGCTGTACTATTTATTTCAGTATTTGCATTTAATGAGGATTCACCATGGTTTTTTTATTTATTTACTTTTTTTTAAGTCATTTTAAGCAGAAATCTAGCAGCTTAACAGGTTGTATTTCCAGCAGAGAGACCTGAGGAGCAGCTGGGAACGTGTACTTGCCTCTCTGCATCCTGATATGTGCCATGGAAGTTGAAACAACTTTCAGGAGTGAATAGATTCATAGTGCTTTAATCTCCAGAAAGGAGTGTGCAGAAGAAGATAAAATTAGCAGCAAGATGACATTCATTTTCTGCCTTGCCATTTTCTAAGATCTTTACACAAAAGTTCAATTTACTAAATACTACTGAATGCCACAGGCATGAGTTTGTGCTTTACGCATCATTACCGGAGTGTGTGAACAGATCCCGAAGTGAGATGCATGTCAGCACATGATTTGCAAAGACTAAATGTACTGAGAACAAATAGTGTTAACCTTTATCACATGCATAACTGGATGTCTGACACACTCTGGTTATCCTTGGGGCTATTTATGCAGCAAACTGTATAATTATTTTTTATTACTGCAAATAAAGCACCCCCCCAATACATACACATCCAATTTGTATTCTTCTCAGTTGGTGCTTCATGTCAGGAAGAAGAAACTTATTTTTATTCTCGTGTCGGTTTTCCCTGAGGTTATAAAATCTACCTAGCCATAATGCCAGAGATGGCAGAGAACAAGGAGCATTTTGCAGTCCAAGATAAACAGCAAGCAAATTTACAAGCAGTGTTAACTTTAGCTACAACTTTTAACGTGAGAAATTTGCTTCCATCTTATGTTGCTAAATATTGCCTATGGTGCAGCTTCTGAAAGCAAAGAAACTCCAGCAATGCCTACATCAGCTCTAGATCTAGCATCTGTTTAAAGCACAACGAGGCGGATTTTGTGGGGTTCCAAGGTTTGATCACACTCTCTTCCCAATGCATACCAAAATCACAACTGCTCCTGACAATCAGGGGTGGGAAAGAGCCCAAAGAAAATAATGGCAAAACAATAAAGTCATGACATTACAGCCCTGTTCTTTCACAGAGCTTATATATCAGAGTTTCCTACAAACTTTTATCCTGTGTTTCTAGACACACAAACAGCAAAGTGCACATTTATAGAATCACAGAATCAACCAGGTTGGAAAAGACCTCCAAGATCATCCAGTCCAACCCTACTGTGGTCACCAGACCATGGCACTAAGTGCCACATCCAGTCTCAGCTTGAAAACCTCCAGGGATGGGGAATCCACCACCTCCCTGGGCAGCACATTCCAATGCCTGATCAC